CTATCCAAAAATTGCTGTTTCTTTGCCATTTTTTCACACCTACGCTGTAATCAGTCAGTTTGTTTCAGTCCGGTTCAGATTTGTTTAGGCCATTTACGAATACTTGTGCTAATTAATTAATATATTTAAAAACTGAGTGCGTAGGTTGGCAACGGCTAAGAGGCGTCGCTGTTGCCATAAAAGCAGCTACCAACGACTGATATCGAGACAGAAATCTTCATTTAGAAAAACCGCCAATTGCCATATAGAGACGATCAACTGATCAGGCTCTAGATAAATCAATTTTAATACCTGCTTATATGTATATATGTATGTGCATATACTAGGCTTGTAAGACCTTTCGTGTCATTAGCTATTGGGGGCTAATGAACTTGCCAAATTAATGTGAGCCATTCAGCCAGTTGGACATGATATAAATAACAACAAACAAAACAGCAACTACTGCAACAACAACAACAACAGCAACAACGACTGCAACTACTACAACAAGACACAAATTATGCTTGAGCGTATTTAAGGTATGTTTTTTTTTCTTCCAATTAATAACAGTGCATGTTGTTACTGTTGTTGGCTTTTCTGACATTTTTCTGGTTAAAAACCAAATGCAAATCTGTAGCTGCAAAAGGCGCTTTTTACCATAATTACCCGTGCACTACTCAGGTGAAATTTCAGGTGCTCAGCTGCCAAATTAACTGCATATTGTTTACGGCTCACGCTGAGCGCCACACAGCAGGTTTTTCAATTTTTTTTTATATATTTGCTAATCAAGCTGAGTAGGGCAGGAATACCGCATATAAGTAATGCGCATCTGTGCTCGTTAATATATATACATATGTATATGTATATATATATATGTATATAGCTTTACCAATTAGCTGATAAGTTAGCGCTGCCAGCAGAGTCATAAATGAGCAAAATTTATTTCCTTTCGTGCTCCATTTTATTGTTGTAATCGCCATAAATGTATTGGCCAGGCATGTACTGAATTTCATGTGCTTTTCATTAACATTTTCATCATGTTGAGCTATTATACTAATAGCTCATCTTTTATGTGAATCGGATAAAATTGGCCGCTTTAATGCATACATAATTATTGAAGCATACCATAGCTAGTAAGCATAGGTAGTTATTCGATAACTTTTATCGATCATATGATAGATAAAATAAAGAATGGCAAAGTGATATGAGCATACCTAACTGTAATCTGGACGAGCATAGCGTATGGCGAATATATATAAAGAGTCTTAGTTATTGAATAGTCGAGTGTAGGCGGTGATTCGACAACTTTGATCGATCATATGGTAGATCGAGTAGTGTAAAGATCTAGCCAACAGATAGGAACAGACTTGGTATTGATGCATATTTAATAAATTTCAATGGCATTTCGATAAATCATATCGATAATATTTATTATCAATTAACACTCAACTGATCTTTAAAGGAATATATAAAGTCATGAACTCGCTGTATTAAGAGTCAGGTAAAATTATCGATTAATTACATCGATAATTTTTGTCATCGTTGAACACTCAACTGATCTTTAAAGCCATAGTTAAGCCATGAATTCGCGTCATTAAGAGCCAGGTAAATCAACTTATAAAACGTAAATCAACAATTTGTATAGTAAAATATTTTTGGAAAAAGTTTTATAGTTTTATGTAACTGAATTTGTATGAATAAAAGACTAATGGAGATTGGAAAAAGTTTTTATTATACTTCTAGCCAAAAACACGTTGATCGATAACATTTTATTGCATTGTTAACAGAAAAGTAAATCACTCAATATACAAGAATATCATTTTGTTTATGGTTTTTTCCTCATTCGGTTTAGTTTTTTATTTATTTGCCTTTCTTGTCTGTGCTGTTCGCTGAAAAAAACGTTGTCTCTTGGCTGTGTTTAATGTTTATTGTTTATTGTTTTGTCTTTAAAATGCTTCGAACGTGCTAAATATGTATTTTGCACTTAATTTTTTTCGTTCGGTTTGGTGATTATTATTCGAGTTAATGGCGAAGAGTTGCAAAAAATGGTCTGCGGTGGTCGCTTGAGGTTGATTTTTTTAATTTGCTTTAAATTGTTGTTGTATATATGGTTAGCATAAAATATAAGAGTATCTGTGAAATATGCTATCAAAATAAATAAACGGCATGGCAATTGTGAAGGCACGAAGCATTCGGCTCTTGACTTATGTCTGATTATTGCTTCCTGTATTGCAGTATTCTGTTGGGGCTTTTATTTAATTTTTTTGTTTGGCCTAGCTTAGATTGTTGTGGCGTATTTGAAGAGAAATCGGGCATTCAACTGGCCAAGAAGAAGCAAAAAAAAAAAAATAAATTAAAAAAAAAAGCTAAGCACAAAGTATCTTTTAGTAAATAAAGATACTCGGCTGCTGTTCACACAAATTAGCGATTGGCAAAGCGTAGCTGCCTACTGATTACACAGAGACGCGCAGCAAGAGTCAAGCAATTAGCCAAGTTAAATACATAATGCATTTGTCTGGACTGCCGTCCGGCTGTCACTCCTGAGCTCTGAACGTCTTAACTTGGCCAACAGATGCAGCGAAGCGTTCGCTTAGTTTGTTCCGTGCAATCGCAGTAAATAATATCTTAAGCCACGGCGTGACCGATAAATCTCTAGATCTGGCGCAAAATGATCCCCTTGCAGATCTGCGCTGGGGGTTAATATTGGTTGTAAGTGCGGCTTTTGGTAGCGCCCAATTTGCAGCTGATCTAAGCTAAGTTAAGGCAGCGATTACCGTTAAATGGCTGCATATTATCTGCCTGAGCCTTACAAATCGCCGCTGAATGCTTTACAATGCTTCGATTCCACCATTTGCGCAGTAATTGGGTCAGTTGTGAGCCGTGCTTGGCAACAGCAATCGAATGTATCTCAGACCGCAGTCTATTCGCATTGTCAAATAGTTCTCAGCCACACTCACGATACGTTTGTATCTGTATCTGTATCTATGACTGACTTTTGTGGCCTTTGATGCAACTTGTTTTGGACTCGTTTGTTAGCATTCTGTTGGCAATGCGACTGGCGACAGTCGAGCGTAAAGTCGACTGCCATTCTGCATTGGTAAATATGGATTTCAAGTCCCCGCTGTGGTGTCTCATGATTATAATTATAACATCTTAAGGCAGAGCCAACACAATGCTGAATCAACGAAATGTTATGAAAGCGACCGAAAATATCTAAAGTTTTGAGCTATCGAAAACTGAGTTCGTCTGCAAGCGTGACTTGTTCTCTGGTGTTGGTTGTTTTTTTTTTTTTAAGCTTTAAAAAAGCTGAGAATTACCTACGGTTAATAAGATGAAAAGTTAAATATAATTTAAACGCGAGTGTTTTGATTTTATTTGGTGTCAAAAAATAAACAACAGCTATTATTTTTCTTCTTTATATTAAGTAAACCTACTTTACAGATACTTACAAAATATAAAAATCGAAAACTAAAGATAAGCATCTAAAAATGTATTCTAATATCTGTGTAAATATTCTATATTGAATTCAACTTCAAGGAACTTGAAGCACCGTAAGATATTTGCAATTTCTCAGCTAATCACCTTTGATCTATCTGTCATATCATATTTCACTGGTAGCCTCTAAAAATCAAGCCAAAAGTATGCTGTGAGCACTGACTGCAGATCGGTTGGCTGTGCCAGTGGCTGGCTTACTTCAGCGAATAGCTGCTGGCCTTGGTTACTGGTTTCTAAGTCGAGTTGAGTGTCTGGTTGCCTGAATCGCAAACACTCGAGCCTATAGTTATATATAAATAAATATATATGTACGTTTATATAAATACAAATATATATGTATATTTATAACAGTCGGTATTTGCGGCTAATGGCTGAGATTGAAATGTCATTGTTGTCAGCTTATCGTATGAATAAATGCCCCAGCAAAAGATCAGCCACTGCCGCAGAAAAAACTCAGATTCGAATGTGCTTGGTTGCTAATTTCGCATATTTTTTGCTAACACTTCACATTGTTGGGTGCCCCTCTATATACCCTGTACTTATCTGAAAAGGGGAGTGGTGGAAACTTTTTCTTCTCGCGCTCTCTGGCTCAACTTGTTTGAAATGTAAATGAAGACTATGTATGTTGTATAGGGTATGTGCTGGTCGGGTACACTCTCGTATTTGTTTGCTTGCTGTTACTTTTGTTACTTGTTATTGTTGCTTTTGTTTTCTGTGTTTTGAAAAATACCTCAAAGTGCTCAATTTCTCACTTCGTCACACGCGCTCGCTCTTGCTCTCGCTTTAACGCTCTCACTCTCCCTCTCTCTCTCTCTTTATTTGGAAAGAAAAAAATGTTTATCGTTATCTATTATATCGTACCCTGCCCATTCACAGCTAATGTCTTAAGTCGATTCAAACGCAAGCTAACAACTGCTGCACGTATGTCCGAAGATCTGGACGAGCTGTTTCTGACGCCGATACCGGCTCCAACGCCCGTCGAGCTGCAGCAGTGCATCTTGTTTGGCTTCCGCCGCCGCCTCAATCCCGCCCAGATACTCGACGAGTGCCGCAGCGCCTTTGGGCCGTTTGCGCCGACTGCGCAGTATGTGGCCAGATGGTATCAGAGATTTCAAGATGGACTCTTTACCATTGACGACAGCGTGGAGGAGGACTGCGGTGTGGGGCGTGGCCAAACGCCCACCACATGCAGTGACTTCAACGATGATGATGATGAAGATGAAGATGCTGATAATGCCAATGGCAATGACAATGACAATGATCAGAGTCAATTGCCGCTGGTCTTGCATGATCTAATGGGGCATGGGCATAGCGATAAGGATAGTTATAACGATCCCGATGATTATTATAATGACAATGCTGATGATGAACTGGTTGATGATGGGAACGTAATTAGTTATTGGCACGGCTATGGCTATTTGGGTGGCAAGCGAAGGTATGCCACGACCTGCACTAGACCTAAGTACTCCCAGCTCTGCATCATTAATGGAAAGTATCTTAAATTAAAATTCTTTTTCCATTCACAGCGGAATGTCTATAAGCGGCTTGCCGCCATTGCCAAAATCTCTGAGTGGTTTCAACAAGCTGCTCGGCTCCGACTCGGGTCTCTTGAGCGATGTGGACGTGGCACAGCAAGAGCTTAACAATAACAACAACAACAGCAACAGCAGCAACATCAACAGTAATAGCAACGTGAAGAAGGAGAACGACAGCGGCAACAAATTAGCAAGCCAAATAGTTAGTGATAACAACAACAAAAGCAACAGCAGCAGCACCAACAACAACAACAACAATTTGAGCGGCGATAAGCAAGCATCTAAAGACAGCAGCAGCCAAGATAATGCAGACGATAAATCAGCAACAGCTACAGCAGACTCTGCTACAGCAACATCAACACCAACAGCAACAGCCGCGGCTATGGCTACAGCAACATCAGCAACTCCCAATGCAAATGAAAATGAAAACAAAACAACAACAATAACGACATCAACGCCAAGCTCACCTGCAAAAATCAATGTAACGGGCAGCACTTTGGACGCGCAGATAGCGACGCTGCGCAAGGAAATGGTAAGTCGATTAGCCATCACCTCATAATATACCCTATATGTTAAGGGAGTTTCATTTAGTCGGAGAGCTTAAGGCAAACGTGTTAAAGGGGCAAAGTAACAACAATACCCAATAGTAAAACCGATCTTAGATTTTGTAGGTACTCACATTTTATATATGATTCCGATTAATTTTCGTATATACCTAACTAAAATACACATTTCTTAAGTAAAACTAATTAAGGCAATTATAAAGAAATATGGGCTCAGCTTTTATGGAAAGTTTCTTTTACAATAATATAGGGTATACAATCAGTCCTTGACTTGCTCACATTTGTACGTTGCATTCAAATTCTAAGAATTTGTTCAAGTAATTATTCATGTTGCTTATGGTCTATATGGGTAGGGTATTTGTACTTCGACCAATTGAAAGTGATTTATTGCATTTCTTCTTTTGATCACATTTTGGAGGGGGCGGGGTGCACATCATTTACATATGAAACGACGAAGCTAAGCTAAATTCTGTTATAGCCAAAGTGAAAATGCAACAATGGAACGGAAATGTTTTCGATTTGATTAATTTGTAAATGCATGTTAAGTGTGCGAGTGTGTGTGTGTGTATATGTGTGTGCATACGTGTGTGTGCTGGCCTTTCAGCACTTGAATGCCATAAAAGCAATTTCAGATTTCACTGTTTGAAAATTCTTCAGATTTTGGTTGCACATTTTTCAAATGCAGCAGTGTGTGTGTATGTACGCGTGTGTGTGTGTGTGCGTGAGTTTGAGTACTCCGTATCTTAAAGTTAGTTCATTTGTCATATTTTTTGAACAACAAAAACAATTGCATTTTTGGGCGCAGCTTTCTACGACTTTGACAAATGATCTTATGCACGTATATATTTATATATATACTCATATATATGTATATGGAATATATATACTTATTACGATTCTTTTTGCACGTGAGATCAGCTTTGCTTTGCTGTGCTGTGCTTTGCTGCAGCTGCGATCACTTCTATATAACAGCGAAAAGAAAGTGCCGAAAACTTTCGGTTTTGCTTGCTGGCAGAGTTCATGAATATTTCAGAGCATTAAATAAGCTCAACTCTAAACTTTGACATTGTCGCGCTTGGGCCTAAACTGATATAGATGGCCATAAAGCATCGAAATGGTCAACGAGTTGGGTCAACAAAGCGAAATGCAAATGCAGCTTTTATTCATTAAGTCAAATTGGCAAAGCAATTAACTTACCCATAGAAAGAGATTCATTTGGACGGTGAAAGAAGAGAGAGGGCGAGGTACAGAGAGAGAGAGAGAGAGAGAGACAGAGCTAGCCATCATGGGGCGGCTTTTGGCTTTAAAGTTGACTAGCTTTTGTTTTGGGTACGGGCCGGGTATATGTGGTGTGGGGGCAGCTGGCATTTACCCAAACACTTTGTCAAAGTTGAAAGCGCAGACGCAACGCTAACGCTTGGCGTTAGGCTCTTCAAATAATGTATTCATTTGACATCATGTCTTGGGGCATCATCAGCCGGTGGCGAAGAGGGGGCTTTGATGAGCGAATGTCGCTTTAAGTCAGCTTTATAATTGCGATGCATCAACAAGCAAATGGGAGTTTGAGCGAGCAGCAAGCGAAGCCATGATAGATTCGCAAATACTCTATAGGCAATTTAGGAAGGAGCATTTAAACTTGAAGAAAAACTTTGGTATTTCGAAGAAGTGTTAATTATGTTGGTTACAAATATGGCATATATTATGAAATCTGTAATTAGTAAAGAATTTATAGATAAAAAGCTGAATTTTCCTTATATATATTCATATTCAATGCCAGATATAGATTGTTTAGAATATATGTGTAAATTAGCTCAAGGCAATTTGTGGCTTTGCCTGAAATTCAACTCGCATCCGCTTGCGATGCGGATCCGAATGATTCGAAGTTTCTCACATGCCGAGCGACTTAAGGTATTTATCCAGTTTGTTTTTGAGCTGATCACGATCTGCACATGGCATTCGCATGTGAATTGTGACACGTTTTTTGAGGCAGCCACCTGACTGTCTATTGGTCGATTGGTCTATTGGCGTCGTGGCCAGGCCCACGAGCACTGAGCCAAGTGACTTCGCTGATGTGGTGCTCTTGACCAAGCCTCAGCAACAACGTCATCTCTGCCTGTGTCGCCGACAGTTGACAGTTGATTTGTAATTTAGTCTGTTTGTATTTATTTCATTATTTTTTTTTCTTTTCATTTTTATGCTGCAATTAAATAAATTAAAATTTTGTCTGCACTTGCGTAATAATTTAACAATTTGTAACGCAATTGCGACTTGTTTTTAATTGCAATCGGATTGGGCTTTGTGGGCCAGCCTGAGCTTGAGGCTTGCCAATTGCCAATTGCCGAATGCCGAATGCCGAATGCCGAGTGCGCATTGCCGCCTGCTAGTGGCTTTTGGCCGGGTCTAAAGTCTAACGTCTAACGTCTGTGGCCAAAACCTTTCACATTTTATGTGCCAGTGCCTGGGCGACCTTTTACAAAGAACCTGTTTAATGTACACCCAGGCGTAGGTGTAAAACTAAAACACAAATTACAATTGTCGGCTGACTAGGAGCGGCCGCAGTTCGGGTCTAACTGCGGCTGCCACAGATTTTGGCCCCCTTTATTTGTTGTTTCTTTTGGCCTATTGTGTGCTCTGTTTTGGGCGCCAATTTGAGCGAGTTTAGGCCATTTACCAATTTACATGCCAATTGTGCAATAATTCTGCGACTCTTTTGCTTTTTACTGGGTCAGGCGTCATCTGTGGGCTGGGCTGTGCACAGGCCCCGCCCTCTGCCCCTGCCCGTTGGTATCTGTTACCTGTTACGATTAAATTACAAATGTTGCTATGTGTCTTGTTACCAATTACGCTCCACTTGCTATTATTATTGTTATTATTGTCGATGTTGTTGCTGCTGCTGTTGTTGTTGTTGTTGTTGTCTCGACTAATTTCACGCGCTCAAAGTCGGCTCGAAGTTAAAGCCAAAATGCCGGACAACGCCAACGCGCGCCCAATGACACAGTAATTGGTCATTGTTTTTGCCCAACCATTATTAATACACTGCAAAAAATTAGGTAGTAAATGCACAGCTGAGTGTTAGGTAACATGGCCAACACGTTATATTAGTAGTGCAACAAAATAGATAACAAATTGGTCTATAAGTTGCTGTATATATTATGTACGAAT